GCCATCATAAGAAACAAGGTGCAAGGCCAGGGCCAACACTCCAGGTGACATCATACCTATGCCATGGCACATGTTTATGTACACACACACACACACACTCACACGCCACAAAGTGTGTGTGTGGATTTGTTAGAATATATTTTTCTCTATAATCCTTGGAAAGTTCTTAGAATACACAAGAATATTTAAATAAAAAAACCTCTTATGCTTCTGTCCATGAGGTGCTACATAGCTAACATCTCCTATTACACTCCTCACTTTCACTGTAGGTAGTCAGACATTTTCCATTCCACTTGCTAACTCTATTTCCCATTGCAAAAACAAACAGACAAATGAACAAAACAACAACAACAACAAATGAGTAAATCTGTAGGAAGTTTAAAAAGAAAGGAAAGTCAACACATCCATCCACCACTGGCAAAGAGTCTTAAAATGCCGTCTACAGCTGAAATTACAACTGCCATGCAAAGTGAAAGATGATAACACAGATGCTCAATGGGACAGGCCTGTCACTTGAGCACCCACTTGCTGATACAGGAGGATTACAAGTTCGAGGCTGGTTGGAGAGTAATCCAAGAGTACCCTGGGCCAGTTAATGAGAGCCTATCTCAAAACCAAAGTCATACAAGGGTTGGGTTGTGGTTCAGTGATAAATACCTGCTAGATGTCCTTAAAGGCTTGGTTTCATTCTCCAGGAAAACATGTACACACAGACACACACACAGGCACACACACACACACACACACACTCAAATATTTCATGAGTAGTAAAAATGAAACTGTGCTATATTTTTTCTCCTTTGTTTTGGGGAAGGAAAAAGTCTTCTCTTCCATGACATTATTTTTGTCACTGGGTCTGGACACACCAGGTTTGACAAGACCTGGGTCTGCTGACATCAAACAGAAGACAGATCTCATCCCTCAGACATCAACACAAAATGATGCAGAAGCCCTGGCTCTGCTCAGCAAGCTGTAGTGCACAGAGCAATATAGCTCATCTGAATCACCTTTAGAAAAGCAAATTAAAGCAGTTTGTATCTGTGGACCATTTTACAGTGTGCGCACATACACTGTGTTAATGCACAGCCCCACTGTTGCTATAATATGGATTTCATGCAGAAGAGAGCTAGGAAAGATGATGTATAGTACAGAGAGGTGGCATGATCAAGCCACCGCATCCTTTTCACCCCATTATCATATATTGCGGGACCAACACTATAGCCACCAGCCCAGTAGATGCTTACATTTAAATAAAATTAACTAAGGACTGCAAGGGAGGGGGCTCCTTTGGTAAAGTGCTTGCTTTGGGAGTAGGAAGACCTGGGATGGATCTTTAGAACTGAGGCTTTTCTGTTTTCTTTTACTTGTTTGTTTGATTTTTAAATCCAAGCATGGAGGCATCTCTTTCTCATCCCAGAGCTGGAAAGGCAGACAGTAGGATCTGCAGGGCTTGCATGCCAAGTTGTAGACTAATTTGAGACCCCCCCCCCATCTCAGAAAGAGAAAGAGGGAGACGAAGAGACAGAGAGAGACAGAGAGAAACAAATACAGAAAGAAACAGATACGGAAGGAAGGAAGGAAGGAAGGAAGGAAGGAAGGAAGGAAGGAAGGAAGGAAGGAAGGAAGGAAGGAAACAATGCCTGGGAAGGTTGTACTTTGGGCTACAAACACATGAACTCACGTGTACATTAACAGCTGCATACACAAATACACATGCAACACACACTGGTTTAACTAGTGAGTCTGGTATAACTGTAACCCTAGTGTTTGGGAGGTAGATACAAGCAGGTCACAAGTTTAAAGCTTGCTTGGCCTACAGAATCAGCTCAAGGCCAGCTTTATATTTTTAAGACACCATCTCAAAATAAAAAGTAAAAAAGGTTTTGTTGCTGTTGTTGTTATTGTTGTTTAAAGAAAGACTCAGGAAATAGCTTAATGGTAGAGCATTTCATGAACATTTACAAGATTATAGTACCACAATATAAATGACAAGATAAAAGCAAATCAAATTAATGAAAAATAAGTAAATTGAAACTTCAATTAATTGTAGTCCCCACAGTTCAACTGCTAAGACAGCCGGCCACCATGCTGGACAAGACTTAGGCCAAACATTGCTATCATTACCACGTGACCTGTTTATCAAGGTCAATACCACCTCACTTACTCTAAAGCTCTCAGCAGGCTAGGACACTGAGCCTGAAGGACACTTGGTAGAAGTTGGAGAGATGGCTCTGCAGTTATGAGTATGAGTCTCACTAGAGGGTCAGTGTTAGTTCTCAGTCCGGATCGCAGATGCCTCCAACCACCTAAAACTACACATCCAGGGTATCCAGTGTCCTCTTCTGACCTCTGGAAGCACATTCATACACGTGTCATATAGTCACACATGCACACAAATAAAAGTTGAAACATAATATTGGCTGGGGATGTCACCCAGTGCCTGCCCAGTATGCACGAAGCCCCGAGTATCTCCAGTTCCTCATGTACAAGGCATGTTGGAACACACCTGTGATTCCAGGCCTCAAGGGGTGGAGACCGGATTGTTAGAAATTCAAGGCAATTCTTAACTCTACAGCAATTTGAGGCTAATCTGTGCTGTATTTTATCCTGCCTCAAAAACAAAAGGAATAGTTAAAAGCTAAAATGCCAAGTAGCAGAACGTCCTCAGTTGACCACCTGTACCTGCTTGGCATAGACAGTGGTTTCCACTCGGCGGTGAAGCGCTGGAGAGCAATCATTCCCATGCTTTCGTAGTTGACCTTCCAAAGGAGAAAGGAAGGGGAAAGGAGAAATGTGTAATCAAATTATAATCTCAAAAATAAAATTTAAAACAATAACAAAGTTTCTTAAAGACAGCGTGGGTATGCATAGCTGCATTTAGTCAGTGAAGCTCCTGTTAGTCACTCCTGCTTGCCTTAGACAATCAGACATGTTTGTCATTTGTCTAATTCCTACTCACTCTCATGGCAGGCCCTTCTGAGGGTCTGTGCCATATAATCTGAGCCATAAGGATTTGCAAAGGAGACCTTGCTGACAACAGATTCCATGTCACCATGTAGAATTTACTTGGAAGTGAATATACTTATGCAAACACACACACACACACACACTTCATCTAATTGCTATTAACACCTCATAGCCATTGGCTGGCCAATTCTAACCCCTTCCTACCTCATTAAATTTAGTGCACATTCTTGCATACTTATATCATTCTGATATATCATGAAAGCCAAGAAAAATAGTCAAGTAGATTAAAGGAACAAGTCTAGAAAACCGGTGACCTGATTTCTCCCTGGCCATCATTCCTCCTCTGGAGTTCAGTGCCGGTCTGACACCTGCTTTGTTTTTATGACTCTTCAGCACTTTAATGAGTTCCCCCATTCCTCATTAGAGAACACGGTGTTTGGAGCACCAGGTGGTGTCTTGCTAAGACCTTTTTTGTTTTAAATTACACATTTTTTTTTTCCTTAAGGAAAGCTGACATCGAAACTCCTGGCTCTGTATTATTGGCGATCATCCACCAAGATGTCTTGTGTGTGTGTGTGTGTGTGTGTTTACTAAATCTGATCCAAAGAATAAATTTCCTCATAGAAAAGCAGGCTCTTTTGAGCTATGATATACATGGTAGAGGACTGTAGTGGGAAACATTGGAAGGAACTATTGAAAGCTGTTTCCTACGTGTTTAAAGTTACTTTCTAGCCTTGTTTCATCCCTGTAAGTCCACATGTATGACACTTGTCAACTTTGCCCTCCTGCTACCACTGGGCATTTTGCTCTTGTCAGCCCTCTGATGCAGAGTTCTGCACTGAGTTAGCTCCTCACGGGGAAGGTGAGAATCCATCCCTTGGAGTATTGTAGGACTACGCATTCTCATTAGAACCTGAATAAGCCCCTGCTGCCTCTGGACACTGGATCCAGTTTGTTCATTGTGCAGAAATCGTTCCATGGTGGCTGACATATTGCCCTGGTCTGTTGAACAAGAAGCCGTTATTTTCTCGGTTTGATGATCGATGCTCCACTGCACACAATTCCTTTTCAATAAGCCCATTTGCTCTTCCTCTTTGCTTAATTGAACAATAGCAATTACTGGTACACAGAACTAAATGTTAATTATTTTTCTTCTCAGAATTTTTTTTCATTTTCTTTTATTTATTACAATTTATTCTGTTTGTATCCCAGCTGTAGCCCCCTCCCTTGTCCCATTCAAGCCCTCCTACTCTCTTCTCCTCCCATGCCCTTTCCTCAGTCCAGATGTTTTTTCTCTTAATGCTTTCATTTACAAACTGGAAGGCTTTATCATACTCACCTCCTCTACACCACATTCGACACCTGAATGTGTGCGACAAGTGTGGTATGTGTGTGTGACCTGTAACAGGGTGACATATGTTACCTCAAACAGTGTGATATTTTCAGCAGAGAAGTCAGAAATTTTGACACCTGTTCACTTTTGTAATAATTATGGAACATTAATAAAGCATTCTACAAAACCATCAGTGATTAAATGACTACACACACACACACAATTACTGAGAAACTTACTCATCTAGCTTCTAAAATCAATATGAGGTAGGAGAGTATTTACTTTTTATAAAGAACTAATCAAAGATCATTTAATAAAATTTAAGTTAATATTTGGTAGGTTATAGTAAAGCACAGTCATTTCTGAAAATCTGGAAAGTTCAGTAAAGTAGAAAGAATATTTAATCCTCACCCCAGACCATCACCATTAACACTTAGGTGCGTTCCTTCCAAAGGCCCCGGGGTTCTGCCTTCGGAAGATGTGTGCAGGATCTCTAACCTTTAACAGCCAGCCAGGCTGGGTGTCCAGCCTCCTCTCTCTTCAGTGTTTTTCTACTTCTGCTGTGATACTAAAGCTTTCATTAACCTCAGCCTTGGATGGGTGGACTTGGGTACCTGCTCTTCTGGTGTGGGCTCCTCCCCGCTGGGTGACCCTGAACTGGACTCTGCATCCCTAAGCCTCATCTCTCCTTGCATTCTAGGGTGGTTATGCTGCATACCGCTACGCCCAGCCCACCCCTGCCACTGCCGCTGCCTACAGTGACAGGTAAGGGGCTTCCTTTTCTAGACGACTTGGTGATAGCTGGTGGGGGCAGAAAATCTTCATTCTTATTTGATCCTGCTTGAAAAGAAATGCATGACTACCGAGGAAGAAACCCCTAGAAGTTAGGGTCCATGGTGAAGTTATGCACAGGCTACGTGGAGAGAAGATGGTGCTTAGGCTTTGCACATTGGGAACTCCTTGCCCCATCTGATGTAATGCTAAGAAAATCTGCCCTGTCCCTGGATAGCTATTTTTCAGGTCTCTTTATTTCTGTAACCATGTATCCTTTATATGCGTGCGCGCGCGCGCGCGCGCACGCGCGCACACACACACACACACACACACACACACACACACACACACACTGCAGTACAACCTTCTTATGGCCTTCCATGTAAAGGTCATAATTCATCTAGCTCACAGAAAGAAAACGAGAGCCTAAAGGTTCACTTCTTTTCCCACATGACACCTGGAAAAACAACTCCCCTCTGCTCCATTGAATTAAAAATAAAGGGATGGGCAGTACATCTGGCTTCCATTAGGAGATTCATTGATCTTGGCAGTATCCAGTGCCCAAACTTACAAACATAAGCCAACTTTCATTTGCACTCCGCACCTCACATGGAGACTGGCAGCTGAGTGTATAAACCTGTATTTGGGAACTGCAAAATTCCAGATGAATGTGTGTGAATGCCTTGGTCCCCAGGCGTTGTTGATGTGACGGTTTCTAAAACAGTTATAGCTATTTCTATATAGGTGCCTTGTTGAGGGGTGGGACGGTAAACCAGCCAAAAAACAAAATGCGTGTGTTTTCATATTGAATGCGATTTTCTGCCTCTGTTCTCTGAGGGCACCAATGTGAATGTTCAGGTGCTCTGCATGCATGAATGTCTGGGAGGGTGCTTATTTTTGTGATGACGATTTTAATTTGACTATATGTTTCATGAATTAAATGATAACAGTAATGATTTGCATGTGTGGCTGAGGCATGCTGGGTCAGACAGGTAAGCGAGCAGGCGAGGTACATGGCCCAAGAGTGAAAACTGTCAGAAGACACTGGGCTCGGGCCTGGCTTGTGGCCATGCAATTCCTCTCGGTTTGGTGTGGTACACTTTTCTTGCACCTCACTCCATTTCTCACAAGAAGAGTTGTCAACAGACAGCAGCTGCAGAATTCTCCTGCAGTTTACTAAAGCAAAAGGAATCCCTGAATTTAAGATGCCATACTTAGCTCTATGCACAAACTCGTCATAAATTAGCTGTGATTTGCTGTCTGACTACACACAGGAATTATTATGGTTTTCTCATGAGCACTTATAACACTTTTTCAAATTGTAGAGAATCTTCAAAGAAATACAAGCCACTGGCCAGACACACTTATAAATACATGAATTATCCATTTACCCAATCATCCAGTTGCGAAGATGCAGGACGCTTCATGTAAATTATTATCTTCAGTATTCTCTGACACTGGATTAGGACAATTGAGAGGGTCAAAGAGGATAATAAAAATGATGACAATCTTGAAATACTTGAGATCATTCTACAAATGAAAAGGCTTAAGTGTTATTAAATTCCACATACTGAAGATCCACACAGCCTCAATTGTAATGTGGCTCGGCTACAGCCCTTAATTATTTTTATGAAAATATCTCTAGATGCTAAATTCTCAAACGCCCACTTTGTATGTAATTATAATCATAGTAACTTTAGCCTGCTGTATAATTATAAGAATCTTAAACAGATTTATTTCTTGGAGTGTTTATCTTGCTTCTCCTAAGAATAAATACATCTAGCCCCAAGTTGAGGAAAGGTTAATTACAAAGATAGACTTTAAATCGCCTTCTTCAGTAAGACTAATGTAGCACTTGATAAAAACAAACAATGTTTAATACTATTCTTAGAGTTACTGAGGAAGCACATCATCTCCACTTGCGTCTGCCTGAAACTGTTAAAATTCTCTGCGTTGTGAAACACCATATATGTAAATATCTGCATAAAACCCACAATTTTAATATCATTAAGATTCCTCATTGGTGATATATTCTACTGAAGAAAAAATACTCTCATTTTTTGATTACTAAATCTTTAATAACGACAATTCCCAGTTTAGTTTAATAGTTGCAGCTGAAGGAACCCACTAACTATATCCTTTTCCATGTAATTGGCCTCTTGCTGTTTATTAGAGATATTTGCACATTAGGTACTCTTGGTTGCTGTGGAAATTGATTACTGGCTCTATTTAACTTTGTTGTGAGCAGAATACTTGTCACCTATGGAATTATTCATTGAGGTAAATTCAGTAATAGGTGAATTACCAGAAAACAATCTCTAAAATAGAATTTCTAGTTTGATTTATCATTATTAAATGGTGGTACTTTATTTTTAATCAATGCAGACAAGGAAAGGGCTTTATTAAAATACAGTCAAGGGAAAATGGGGAGTTATCAGAATATTTTTTGAATCTATACCAAAGATGCAGAATCTATCCAGGGCAATGATAAATCACTATATTTTTAGACTATCACATCATAGAATCAGTAGTAACAAACTCTTTCTTCCTCATCTCTGGAAGACAGAAAAAAAAAAGGACAAAGAGAAAAACTTCCAAACCAAAAGAAACTCTTTCAGACTTGGAAGGGAAATCAGCAAAGTGGAGAATGTTTGAGAAATGATCCTTGGCTGTCAGTTTCATCAAAAACAAGACAGTAGTACCCCTTCCCCGAGATTCGCTCTTCAGGCCTCTCCAAAGTGTAAACAAGTCTGCTGTGCTCCCCCACCCCTGCCAACTGGGAGGATATTACTTTTATTCAACACAAATTACGCCCTTATAACATTAAAGATTCAGGAACCCTTTGAGAAATATTAAATAACAGTAACCTCAGAACTGCCCAAAAGGTCTTTAATGGGTACCTTCCAGCTCCCTGTCCATCATCTTTCTAGTTAAATGATCACATACTGACAATCTCAGAGCAACCTGAGTGTCTCTGAGAGCTGACCTACTGAATGAAAACCATCTGCTGCCACCAAGCTTTTCCCAAGCTACAAAGACTGAACTGAACTAGGTAACCTCACGGCCTCATTGATGAACTAAGTAAGGATAGGTGAACGACTTTCCTCGGCATTTTATAAGCATTCGGTAAACATTTGACCTGATCAATTCTTTATTTTGTTAATCTCGCTTTGGTGTAATGGAAGCCAGCTGTCCAGACTCTCAAGGAGATTGTTTTCTGAGCTTGAACCAATCAGAGCATGGCGGTGGGGCCTGTGGTCATCTGGTCATTGCATGCCACTCGGTGTTGCTGATGTGTCTGCAGTACGTGCTGGGTTGGACAGGTCCATCACATTAGCTCCGTGAATGGCTTGCTTGGAATAAGCCTGGGGTGAAGGTCTCTCTTTATTGATTGGCTCTTGGTTCCTTGTGTTTTATGGCTTGGTCCTTGTTGCATCTTTCGGCTGTCTGACTGGGAGGTGGGAAGAGGAGAAGATGCCCTGTTCAAAGAATGATGCCACTCGTAGTAGGGAAATATGTGATGTGTATAGAGCATTGATGAAATACTCTGCCTAGAAAGACAGAGCCTGGCCATGCTTGTCCTGCTTGCTGATACTCTAACATTCCCTAAGGATTGGTGCATGAAAGTGTCCCTCCACGTTAGGGAAGAGAGGAGCTAGACACAGACCAATTAGGAAAAAAAAAAAAA